CTGCTGCTGCCCCTGCTGTGGGGGGGTGAGTGGCTGATGGAGGGGGGCAGGGCAGGTGGGGGAGGGCCGAGGGCTGCATCTGAGCCTCAGTCCCCCACCCCCAGGGTCCCTGCAGCAGCAGCAGAAGCAGCAGCCAGGCTATGAGCTCCGAGTGCAGGAATCGGTGACGGTGCAGGAGGGTCTGTGTGTCCACGTGCCCTGCTCCTTCTCCTACCCGTGGAGTCCGTGGTCTTCCCCTAGTGAACTCTACACCTACTGGTACCGGGACGGGGACAACATAAACCGTGATGCTGCTGTGGCCTCAAATGACCCAGACAAAGCAGTGAAGACAGAGACCCAAGGCCGCTTCCTCCTCACAGACCCCAGGACCAACATCTGTTCCCTGCGCATCAGAGACGCCAGGAGTCGTGACTCAGGACGCTACTTCCTCCGAGTGGAGAGAGGGAATTTCCAAGGATATAAGTTCCAAGGATATACTTACGCAGATAAGACGCTGGATTTGCAGGTAACAGGTACGGCTGGGGCCCCGTAAAGGACCCAGGGACAGGGGACCCGCCTTAGAGCAGGAACAGGACACTGGACACTCCCTGATCCAGGCCGTGGGCCCTGGGTGGTGGGAAGACACACAGGGCCTGGGTGAGCTCAGCCCGAGGAGGGCCTCTCCTCAGGGTCCCGCTCTGAGTCCCCACCCCTGGAGCCCAGGCACCTGCCTTTCTCCCCTGCAGCCATGACAGAGAAACCCCACATCTGGATGAGGGAGCCTCTGGAGTCCGGCCGCCCCACACAGCTGGCCTGCAGCCTGTCAGGGGCCTGCAAAGGGGGACGACCTCTCACCTTCTCCTGGGCGGGAGCTGCTGTGGACTCGCTGGACCCCCAGACCCTCCGCTCCTCGGTGCTCACCTTCACCCCGAGGCCCCAGGACCATGGCACCAACCTCACCTGTCAGGTGAAACGGGAAGGGTCCCAGTGGACCACACAGAGAACCATCCGGCTCAATGTTTCCTGTGAGTGTTGGAGTGGGGGCTGGGTCCCTAGAGGTAGTGGGAACGACATATGTGTGTGTGTGTGTGTGTGCAGGAGGCTGAGCTAAC